ACCCGAAAGCCGTTTAGGGTTTAGGGTTTAGGGTTTAGGGTTTGGGGTTTAGGGTCAAACCCGTAAGTGCAAAGCCTCTAGCCTCAGAAAAGACTTGCTTAATTAGGGGGCCTGAATAATTACCTATACTATTTTGGGGGGTTCCTTATTATTGGGGGTTCCTGATTATTATTGTTATTGTAGAATATAACCCCCAACCCTGTTCTAAGTATTAAGGCCCCTATATTACTCAAACCTCTGGCAATCCGAAACCCTTCGCCTTGCCCAAAGCCCCCCCGTAAGACTTCTAAAACTCGGAAAGACTTGTACCCTAAGTCCCTACATCCCTAAAACGCGAAACCCTAGCTAAATTCTAACCCCCAAATCCTTCCATTCCTAAATCCCTAAAACCCCAAACCCTAACTCTAACCCCCAAATCCTTCAATCCCTAAATCCCTCAAACCCCTAAATCCCGAAAATCCCTAAACCCCTAAATCCTTACATCCCTAAAACCCTAAACCCTACATCCCTAAAATCCCTAAACCCTAAATCCCAAAAGCCCCTAACCCCCTGAAACCCGAAACCCTAAATCCTAAAATCCCTAAAACCCAAGGGGTTCTCTCCTGGTGCCTCGGAGGTCTCTTCCGAGGATTATCTCCGACGCTTCTAGGGATCGGCCCCTATGGAGCGTTGTCGTTCTCGGCCTTCGAGTCTGAGTAAGGTTTCAGTGTTTAGGAGTGTTTAGAGTTTAGGGTTTAGGGGTAATACCCAAGCTTTGTAAACTTTTTGGGTTCTTACAATGTAGTAGTAACCTGAATGCTTAACCTTCTTTCAAACTAGTAGTAGCCTGAAAGCTTAACCTTCTTCAAGCTAGTAGTAACCTGAATGCTTAGCCTTTTATTTCCCTGGCTTATTGGGGAATTAAGGAGTTCTCCAAGGGAAAGCTGCGGCAATGGCATGGCCACCTGATGCAAGGAAGCCAAAGGTTTGGGGTTTGGGGTTTAGGATTTAGGCTTTGGGGTTTAGGGTTTAGGGTTTAACGTTTAGGGTTTAGGCTTT